TATATATACATATATATATATATATATATATATATATATATATATATATATATATATATATGTACCCTCAATCTTTGTTTTGTTTTCGTGTATATTTGTTTCTTTTTATTTCAGGTTGTTATGAATTTTTTTTTTTTAATCTCCGGGGAATACGAAATATTCTACGACGATTTTAATGCTTTTACGCGTTTTTTTTTTTTCAAATATAAATTGATTGATTATTGAATATGCAGATGGTAGCAAGAGAAGGTACATAGCCGAAGAAATCGAGAAACTCGGAAAGGGCAACATTTCTGCCGAAATTTTCACATACAAGGAGGTCTCTGCTGCAACTAACAACTTCAAACCCGAATCTTTGATAGGCGAAGGCGGATTCGGGAGGGTTTACAAAGGCCACCTCAACAGCAAAAACATCGTAAGAATTTCGTGTTTATTGCATTTCACACCCCTGTATTATTTTGAATTGCTAAAAAGCTCACCGTTTTATAAAATATTAGCAAAACTCCCCCTTATAATGCATTTTTAAGCACATAACCCCCTGAAAAGTGAGTTTTTAGGGGGTATTTTGGTAAAAAAAATTAATCATAGGGGGGGTTTTGCTAATAAAATAAGATGGAGAGTCTTTTAGCAATTAGAGAAATACAGACTCCCCCTTATAAATGCATTTTAAGCACATAACCCCCTGAAAAGTGAGTTTTTAGGGGGTATTTTGGTAAAAAAATGGAATCATAGGGGGATTTTTGCTAATAAATTAAAATGGAGAGTCTTTTAGCAATTAGAGAAATACAGGGGTGCTGAATGCAATAAATCTTCATTTTTTTTTTTCATTAATCTTTTCGTAAACTTAACCTCGTTTTCGGAGATGCTTTTTAGAATGGGTTATTCATGAATTTCGTCGTTTTTTTTTTCGATATTTTTTCGATTAGGATGTTGCGGTGAAGCAGCTCGACAGAAACGGGTTCCAAGGGAACAAAGAATTCCTCGTCGAAGTTCTCGTTTTGAGCCTTCTTCACCACCCTAATCTTGTTAATTTAGTTGGCTACTGTGCTGAAGGCACTCAAAGAGTTCTTGTTTATGAGTACATGCAAAATGGTTCTTTGGAAGATCACCTCTTAAGTATGTTTCTTTTTTTTATTTTATATAAATACACCCCGTGTTATAAATATTAGCAAAAGAACCCCTACGATGCAATTCTTCTACCAAACCACCCCCTGAAAACTCACCGTTTTAGGGGTTTCTGCTAATATTTATAACACGAGGAGTTTTTAAGCAATTTGATGAATCTTTATTTTTGTGTGCAGATTTAAGTCCGGAGAGGAAGCCTCTCGATTGGAACACGAGGATGAAAATTGCCGAGGGGGCCGCGAGGGGGCTCGAATACTTGCACGAGACGGCTAATCCGCCGGTTATTTATCGCGATTTCAAGGCGTCGAATATACTTTTGGATGTGGATTTCAATCCGAGGCTATCGGATTTCGGGCTGGCCAAACTGGGGCCCGTCGGAGAAAAAACGCACATTTCGACGAGGGTGATGGGGACGTACGGGTATTGTGCGCCGGAATATGCTTCCACCGGCCAGTTGAGCACGAAGTCGGATGTGTACAGCTTTGGGGTGGTGTTTTTGGAGATAATCACGGGACGAAGAGTTATCGACACTTCGAGGCCGAGCGAAGAGCAAAACTTGATTACTTGGGTAAGTGCATGCAAGTTATATATATATATATATATATATATATATATATATATATATATATATATATATATATATATATATATATATATATATATATATATATATATATATATATATGTATATATATATATATATATATATATATATATATATATATATATATATATATATATATATATATATATATATATATATATATATATATCTATATATATATATATATATATA